CTCCTCCTCCTCCTCCTCCTCCTCCTCCTTCTCCTCTTCCTCTTCCTCTTCCTCTTCCTATTCCTCCTCCTCCTCTCTCCTCCCAACCGGGAGAAGGCGGTAGGCGCCATGGGGGGAACGGATCCTGAGGGAAAGGGGCACAGTGGAGGCCCAGACCTTGCTTGCCTCCAGGCTGCCCTGGGTTTCCTGGGTTTCGATGGTTTTGCTATGGAAGGCGTGACGTTCCCACACCAAGAATCGATGGACGTCCCGGGGTCTCAGGGTTGGGTTTCTTGTGGAAGGTTTCTTGTGGTCGGGCCTGTACTGTAGTTGGGGAGCATCCGTGGAGCAAAGAGGCGGACACCGGTCAAAACGGAGCTGGGCTTAACCCCAGCAGCCCGCAACTGTGGGGACAACCTCGGGGCCTCGGGGAGCCTCCTGGAGATCTCTTGGAGCCACCCTGGGGCTCTCCTGAGGCCCTCCTGCCCTTCCCGGGGCCGTCTCTTGGAGTCTAGGCCTCCGAGATGGGGTCCGAGCAGATGGGGTCGGAGGATCGCGCCGCATCGCCGATGCATCGACGATGCGGCTCGATGTGGAGCCCGTTTTTTCTTCACGCCGACGGCGACGATGCAGCGCCGACGCTGTTGGTGCAACGCCAAAGCATCGCCGATGCATCGGCGATGCGGCGCGTTCCTCCGACCCCTTCCCTTCCGACCCATGCAGGAGGCCTCTATCGAGCCTTCCTGGATCAGGCCGTCGACAAGCAGAGAGGGGGTCACTCCAGCAGCGCAACCGCTTTAGAGACAACGAGTGTCCATTTTGAGGTGCTTTATCGAGCCTCTTTGGGCCCTCGCCGGCTACACTCTTCGGCCAGTTTGGGGCCATCTTGACGCTCCTTGGGCCCCTCGGGAGCGAAGGTGCGAAACGGCAACGCCCACTACAATAGCTTGCGTAAGTCGTTTGACGATTTAGGCCTCTCTCGGGCATCCTTGGGATGCTCCGTGGCCACCTCAGGCCGTCTCGGCTATCTTGAACCGGGTTGGACGATGTTGCGCGATCTTGGAGGCCATCTTGGGCTATCGACCATCTTGGGCTGAATCGACGTCTCCGACGCCACGCGGCCCTCTTCCCTGTCCAGACTCAAACGGAGGGCTAGGGGCAAGCTCCTTCCCGAAGGGGAAGGGATTGTTGTGGAAAAGCTGATCCGCTAAACCACCCTGGCCCTGAAGGCGGGTGGGGTTACAGCTGTGTCGCTTGTTGAGAGGCCTTCTCGGTGTTTTCGCAATTTGAACAAAGTGTGCAGGTTCATTCCACTTCCACCTCCTCGCCCACACCGACGCCCCCACTCTCTGCCACCACCACCTGTCAGCGCCGCCAATGGCCTCTCACACCGACCCACCCACTCTACACGCCCGCCCCAACCTATCTTCTCCAGCTTACCCCACCATGCCCGTATCCCCTCGCACGCGCAATCCTCCCACACTCTCCCGCACCCAGGCATCACACCGACTCACCCACTACACTCTTGCACGATGGCATGCGCATTGCTGGTTCAGCGTTTGCTCAAGCCTCCCTTCAGACCTTCCACGTTGCAGTGATCACAGTGAGTCAATGCTGTGCGCCCAGCAGCGTGAGGGCTCAGCTACATGCGGGACGCCAAGTTCAGCGTCTCTGGCGGCTGTCCGCTGGCACACTGTACAGTGTGAGCCTTAGTGGTCCTCGTTCTGTCAGTCGTATCTCTTACTCGGTTCTTCGTCATCGGCTTCGCAAAGCGTAGGCGCATCCTACCCGTTTTGGACTTCCTCGTATTGGCTATTGCGAGCTTCTGCGCGACAGTTTACACGTGGTCGAGCATGCAATATCACGGCCCCTCGCGCGAGAGCCTGCCACTCTCAGCCATCGGCAAGATGTGGCATGTACTGGTGAACCTGGGCTCTGTTGGCCACCCTAACCTTCCAGACGGTTGTGTTTGAGCTGGCAAGCAGGCTCGCAAGACCAAGGGACATCTCGCCTCGTGGCCCTGGGCCAACCCAGCGCCACAGGGTGAGCAGCACCTCACCTATTTTCAATCTTTGAGCATGAGTTGTGATGCTGAAGACGGTGTCAGATATCCAGGCGCGACAAGCTGCGCCAGCATGCCAGCGCACCACTGTGTGTGGCGACCCTTTGGGAAACGCCCGCAAGGCCGCAAAGTGTGACGGCTGTTGTCCCTTCAGCTTTCGTCTGTATGCTGCAGGGGGGCGTGCCATATGACTCTGTCTTTTCGCAAGTCGGAGAAGGCCGTAACATGTGACGGCTGTCTTCGCAGGGCCCAAGACGCCGTAACACGTGACACCTTTTTCGACATCCCAGCTGATCGTACCATGCAACAGCCCGACCACCCAGCTGGACGAAAGCCGTACGATGTGGCAGCAAATGTATCCGTGGCGCAAGGGGCAGTATGATGTGGCCTCGGGGGGAATGGCCTCCCAGAAGCTCGCTGCCGACTTTCTTTGAAGCCTGTTTGGGCCTCTTGGGAGCCAGCTTGGGGGACATCAGGCCATCCTGGAGGGTCTCGCAGCTGTCTGGAGGGGGGCATTTCTGGAAGGACCCTGTGGCCATCTGGCGGGACGTCTTCGAGCCGCTCTGGGTACCGCATCCTCACCCCTGCGGCCAGAGCAGCAATCCAATTGCCCTGTCGGGCCAGTCAGCCAGTCAACCACGCTATGGGTTGCGCCAGTGCGCTCAGAAAGTCGTAGCTGAGCCGCAGTCTCGCCTGGGCCAATTATTGGTGTGATGTCCGTGGAAGGGCCAGGAGAGATGGTCGGGCGGTGCCACAGGACGAGGTTGAGTCCGCTCCGGAACCTTCCGGAGCGTTCCGGAATGCTCTGAGAAGGCCGCGGCGCCCGAAACGTCCTCCAGATCCGCGGGAGTTCAAAGATTCTCGATTTATCCGTACCCGAAGTTATCTTTGTCCTGGCCTCGCCTTAGATGGGGGCGGCCCAGGTGTGCATCCCCAAGAAGCGCGGCGGCGGCGTGTCCGTGTCCTTCCTGGAGAAGGACGGTCTTGGTCTGCGCCATGCCCTCCCCACTCCGTGGAGCTAATATCTTTGATTCTCGGGCTGGTGCATTTTCAAGCTTTTTCTCTCTCCCTCTCTCTCTGTCTGTCCGTGTGTCTGTGTCTGTCTGTCTGTCTGCCTGTCTTTCTGTCT